GATTTGGACTCTTTGGTTCAGATTAAGAATCGTGACAATTTGAGAGTCCTGAGCTGTAGTGAGCCCAATATCGAACGGAACGGGGGACTCGTTCCTTCCGGGGCGTTCGGGGGACGTTTACACCCATCTTTACCCATTTGTAGCGCCGCCGCCAACGAGGTCGTGATTGAGAGAGACAAAGATCGCAGATTGTGATCACGATTGTAAGAGAGAAGCAAAGGTAATAACTGACGAGGATAATGGTTGCGGTAATGGTGACAGCGACGGTGGCTAAGGTTTGCGGTTGGGGAAGATGAGGGTTTTGTATTAAGTGATAGGCAAGGGAGGGATGGTGTGGGTCTCTAAAGAAGAAGAATGAGAAAGAGGATGAGGAAACTAGGGAGGGGGACGACGATGGGAGGGATGGTAGCCGCCGGTGGTGGACAATCGGAGGAGGAAAGAGTTGGGTAAGGGGGTGGACGATAGTTGCAGTGGAGGTAGTTAGGGTTAGGATTTGCTAGAGAAGATAAGGATAATTTGGTATTATTTGAAAATTAGTGGGGTGTGTTGAGACAAAATCAAAATATTCATGTTGTGTGATGTGTGAACTAAGCAAATGGTGTGTAATGAGGCAATCAGTGGTGTGTAAATAGAATCTCCCACAAATAATACCTAATCAAATTTCTAAGTATGTGCATTGAGAAGTGATGTGTACTGAGGTAAATAGCTGCATGGAAATAGAATTCCCCTCATGTGACACCCCGAACGTTTAATTAAATACCACAAAAATATTTATAACTATATATAATTATGTTTGTATGTGATAATATATTATAAATAAATAATAATAACAATAATAATAAAATAAATATATGGAATAAGAATAATAATGATAATAATAGTAGGCAATAGTAATACTAATGATAAGCATACCAATAATGATAAGGCTAATAGCAAGTGATAAGGCCAACATCCATTAACTAACAATTAATTAAGAAGATTTGTAAATCTCTCCAAGAGAAGGATGTTGCGCCACCTGTGTTATCTAGGCCTTAGGGGAAGTGAGTCACCATTTTTAGGCATCATGTGCTTGTGTATATATAAGAGGGTGGGGGGCTGCGAATTGAGTAAAAGAATGAGGAAAAAAGAAGAAAAAAAAAAGAGAGACAGAAATGAGGAAGGAAATGGTCTCGAGAAGCTAGTGTAAATATGAGGGAAATAGTAAGAATTAATACTAAGGTGAGTTATATTATACCTTGACTCACGATAATATATTTTACGTATGTTTTGACTTACCATAATTTATTTTATACAAGTTATGTTTATAAATTATATTAATATTTCAATTAAGTGGATTATTTTCTAAACTCTATTTGTTTAAAATGGAACCCATGGATATGTTTGTTTAAATTTTTAAAATATTTGACAATGACGTTATAAACAATTATGTTTTATAAGTACCACCACGGGAGTCCCACACCTTGGGGGACTTAAATAACCATTGGCTTCTGTTTGGCCACCTTGTGGTCTTCTGTTCGTCATAGATCCATTGACCTTTGTTCTGACCGTCACTCTTGTGACCTCTGTTTTGTTATGTTCTGTATCGTGATTATGGTTATTTATTTACATAATTTTCGTATTTCAGTTTCTGCCACTCTGAATAATTTGTTTATTCAAATTAAGTTATGTAAATGTTTTAACTTAACTAACTATCCATGGTTATTTTGTATTCCCTATACTCTTGGCATAATATTTCTTACTCTGTTGTGTGCTTATAGCGATTACCCTTTCAGGTGACGAGATGTGAGGAAGATTCGTAATCTCATGTAGTGGAACCTGAACAAGAATTGATGTTGATCCATTATTTTATTTTATTTTTCTTTTTTTTCTTTTTCTTCCTTTTATTTTTTTATTTTTATTTTTATTTTTACTGAGGGCAGGTCACTGCATAATAAAAACATAAATAAATAAAAGCCCTATAGATGTGTTTTCTCTTATTAAAATAGTAGAATGAAGTAAAATTTCTGTTTAGTTATTTTTATTTGCCTCCACCTACGCCATTTAATTTGCTACAAATAAATTAGTAAGTTGTGATTCCAGCCTTAAGCCCTTGGGGTTAGGTCGTGACACCTCAAAAATCCCCTTGTTATTTTAGCATGTCAACAAGGACAAGCCTTTGTGAAATGACAAAAATACCCATGTATACATATACATGGTTCTCAAAATCAAAACCTAACCAAACTATTTTCTCTCTCTCATTTCTCCCTCTCTTTCCGCAGATTACACAGTTTCTCTCTCTCTCCTCCTATGATGACGCACTCTCTCTCTCTCTAACTCTCACCCACCGACATTGCCACCTCTACTGCCAACAACCACCACAACTACCAATCATGGCCACCACCACAACTAGGGTTTCACGACGTCTGTTGACTTTCGACTCTTTTTATGGCGTTCGTCGCAGCTTTGCCATGGCCAGATCAATACTGTTTGAGAAATGATTTGAACATACCAGATCTGATAACATACCCCGTTCTCTTTCTCTCTCTCTCTCTCTCTCTCTGTGCTACATCCATGGCGTTGCACTTAGGGGTGATTTGGAATGTTCTAAATAAGTGCACTTTTTGACTTTTTATAAATAAATAAAAATGTGTAGAAAAGTAAAGAAAATGGGTAGAAAAATAGAGAGGAGATGTTAGTAGATATTGATTGATGTGACCCAAATAAGTGTATGTATGCAAAAAAAAAGTG